TGTGTGTGTGTGTGTGTGTGTGTAACTGGGGATTGAACTCAGGCCCTTGTGCTTGCCAGGAAAGTGCTTATTCAACTGAGCCATCTCCCGGGCCCTCTAGGGCCTCTATTGAGGGAGCATGTGGCTTATCTCTTCCTTCCTCTTCCCCTTAGGCCTGGAGAGCGTGGACCATTACCCCATCCTGGTGGCAGTAACAGGCATCCTGGTACAGCTCCTGGTGCATGGTCCAGCCTCAGAGTGAGTGCTGGGGATTGTGAGCCCAGGGGAGCTGGGGAGTTCTTGTGAGGAGAAGGTAGGCAGGACCTCCTTAAGCCTCAGCCTCATCTTGAAAATGACCTCAGTAGGTAGAAGGCAAATGGAGGGACATGGACTGCCTGAACAGGTGGCAGTGGCAGCTGTTCTGGGTAGAAGACTCAGAGCCAACAATGTTGGGTTCCTTGGCTTACAGTTGTGCCCCTGGGTGGGAGTTGGGGGCAGTGCCATCCTACAGTGGCCAGGGCAACACTGCTGAATCAAGAGGTGAGCACATGATGCTTCTGCATCTGCAAGGCTCCAGCAATGAGCACGTACTGCCTTTATTAAGGAAGTCTGTAACAGCAGGGCTGGGACAGCCATGGTAACCCCCAGCTCAGCCCCCACACCTGAGGAGATCCCAGGCCCCCTTCCCTTCCCACTGCAGTGGGAGTGGAGAGATACATGCAAAGCCAGGGCACTACTTCAGTCATGCTGAGACCAGTGCCAGCCTTTAAGAGGCATCTGCCTCAAGAGACACAAAGTTCTGGCTGGGCCCTCCCAGCTTGGCTTGCTCACCAGGCTCTTTACTGCTGTTGAGCCCTTGGGATGGGCTCTGCCTTCAGAGTGAATGCTGGATGCTCCTGACTGGAGAGAGCAGGGCCATTCTGACTGGGACTCAGTGTCCCCCGGAGTCTCTCGAGACTGATGGCTGAAGCTTTTAATGAGTTGGATGCTGGTGGACAGAAGGCATTCTGTTTTACCCAAGGGAAGGAAGATGGGCTTAATTTCTGTGCTGCCTCCTGCCCTGGGGTGGGGGGCCAGATCTGAGCCCTTCTTCCTTTCCCCCATAGGCTCACTCTATCAAATTTTCTGAATATGCTTGAAATGCAAGCGGTTTCCCAGGTGGGCTTGCTCCCCAGTCCTTATGGGACATTTGGGCTTAGGAGGTTCCGGGGAAAACAGGCACTATCTAGAGCCTTGAGGTCCTGTGCTAGGCAGCGCAGAGGCAAGTTAGGGACCCAACTCCTCTCCTAGTGCTTAGGGCCCTTGGGTTCAGGTGAAGGCTCACACAGGAGCAGTGGGCCCAGGTTCAAGGCCTCCCACCAGCACCAGACAGTCCTCTGGATGGTAGGAGGGAGCACAACAAGCAGGAAGAGGGCCATGGCCTGGGTGGGCCCTGGGTAGCCTAGGTCATCATGGGTCCCTCTGAGCCTGTGGAGCTGGCAGACTCAGAGCCAGCCTTTAGTGGCAGGGCCGAGAGGTTGCAGAGATCAAAGTCTTCAGCGACTGCCAACTGCACGCGTCCATTGAGGCCTCTCCTGCTGGGCTCTAGGAAGACCACGTGCTTGTGGACACTGGCCTTCCGGCTGGGTGCATCTGGGGGTGTGGTGCTGAGCATAGAAGACTGTGCACTCAACTCCTGGAGTGGGCTAGGTTCCCGGGGCCAGCGGCGCTCACGGCAGAGCTGGCGGCGGCAGCAGCAATGGCAGCAGCCATGGCAGGGTGGTGCAAACAGGTAGAGCAGTACAAGTACCAAGCCCACAGCACAGCCCAGCAGCGTGGTGAAGCCCGTGTTGAAAGCCTCAGGCTCCGGATGTGGAAAGTACACGCTGACATTGTATTCAAGTGTTTGGTTGTGGTACAGGTGGGGCCCCGTGGCCATACACACAAAGATGCCTGCGTGCTGCTGCTGCACAGCACTGATGGCCAAGCTGCCGTCACCCAGCACTGTGATGCTGCCATCACGGGATCCTGGTGCCAGGAGCAGCTCGTGCTGCGGTGAGACCCATGTGATGCTCATGGCCGGGGCACTGGTGTTGCAGTAGAGCCTCAGGGACCCACCCACCTGTGCGTGTAGCTGCTCCTCGGGTCGCTCTAGGATCAGAGGTGGGACTGCTGAGCAGTTCTCGAAGATGCGGCTGTGCTCAAAGAAGCGCACGCCAGAGGCAGGCACCTTGAAGGCCAGGCATGTGTACTCACGGGCAAAATCACGCACGGCCCTTAGGCCCCTCTGGTGCCATCGCTGCAGCAGGTGGTAGAGGCGGCAGTCACAGGGCAGTGGGTTGTTGTGCAAGTAGAGCCCGTTCTTGAGGAAGGCCGGCAGTGCGGCCAGCTCCGGGATGGAGAGGAGTCCCAGCTGGTTGGAAGAGAGATCCAGAGTGCGCAGGTGGGTTGTGCGCAGGCCGTGCAGATGGTTGAAAGAGAAGGAGGAAATTTCGTTGTAGCCCAGGTAGAGGCGGCTAAGCGCTCTTAGGCTGTGGAACGCGTGCTCGTCTAAGTGTGCCAGACGGTTATTAAATAGAAACAGCTTCTCCAGTGCTTCCAGCCCATCGAGATCGTGACGGCCAAGTGCCTGCAAGGCATTAGCTGACAGGTCGAGCAGCCTCAGGCGGCTGGCGTTGCTAAAGATGCCGCGACCCAGCGCATCCAGCTCATTGTGGCTGAGGTGCAAGGCGCGCAGCCGGGAGAGGGGCGCTAGCCAGCCGGGGCTCAGGCGCCGGAGCGCGTTGTGGCTCAGATCCAGGTCTTCAGCAGCCGGAGGTAACGTGGCTGGCACATCCTGCAGCCCGAGGCCCGCGCAGCTTAGCAGATCGGCAGCGCAGATGCATTTGTAAGGGCAGTTGTGGAGGGCAGGAGGCGGGAAGGCCTCAGAGTCTGGGATGCCTAACCCGAAGCGCAGCATGCACACCAGTGTACCCGGCAGCACCAGCCAGGCCATGGCAGCAATCGAGGGATGGGGTAAGGTAGCTCTAGGATTCACCCCCTTCCACTCGGGCTCAACATACTGGTACCTGGAAGGCCACAGTGCAGGAGGTACTGTATTGCGCCCAACTCACAAGGCCGACAGCTGCTGTCCTCTGCTTTGCAGAATGAGGTGGGACTGCCCGCAGCTCAGCATACCCTTCACTTCCTTAGCTTTCTCCTTGCGCGCGGTCCTGGCCCGCTTCTAAATACTCGCTGGGAAGTGACCGCGTGAGGCGGCGGGGCCCCGGGCTGTCATTGGCTCCCGCTGCAGTGGGCGGGGCGGCTGCGTTCCCAGAGGCTGAACCCAACACGGCCACCTGGGGGCGCGAGTCCCACCCTAGCATCCTTGGCGGCTCTAGCTGTCTCCCACAGAGGTAAAAGGGGAAATCTGGAGATGCTGTTGTGTGGCTGTTCAAATTCTTTTATTTGATGTGAATTCTGCTATTTTATGATTGCACCATCCGCCCTTTAGACAGGTAACTTGGTTATGTAGGACCTCAGTGGGATCCAGGATTTAAAAGGTGGCAAACAGCAGAGAAGGATGAAGAGGCAATAATGTAAGGTGTGGATTGTCACACAATGTGTTCATAGATGACTTTCCAACAGTCCCAGACCTTCTCAGCACTCTTACACCTTCCCTACCTAGGACAGAGAGAGCCACATCAGTGCTTCTGGCCGATCCCTGCTTCCAGCTGCGCTCCATATGCTATCTCCTGGGGCAGCCAGACCCTCCAACACCTGGGACTGCCCTGCCTGCTCCAGACCGGAAGCGCTTTTCTCTGCAGAGCTGTAAGTGGGCCCTGGTGTGAGTCAGAGATCTGGGACTGCTTGAAATCAGGGTTCTCAAGAACAGTGAAAGCTGGAAATACTGGAGACACCAGGTTCTAGCCCTGACAGCACTTCCTGCTCACCCAGACACAGATTATATCAGTGCTGAGGAGCTTGCCCAGGTGGAGCAGATGCTGGCTCATCTGACCTCTGCATCTGCTCAGGCGGCAGCTGCATCCCTGGTGAGTGGGCCCGAAGCACATGGATCCATGCCATCTGAATCTGTGTGCACACCAGTGTGGGTGTCATGTGTCCAACCCCAGCCCAACCTCCATGCTCCTCCCTTAGCCCACTAGCGAGGAGGACCTCTGCCCTATCTGCTACGCCCACCCCATCTCTGCTGTGTTCCAGCCCTGTGGTCACAAATCTTGCAAGTAAGTGGGCCCTGTGGACTTGAGGGAGGGGCACTCGGGACACACAGGGAGTCCTCATCCCCTTCCATTGTAGAGCCTGTATCAACCAGCACCTGATGAACAACAAGGACTGCTTCTTCTGCAAAGCCACCATCACATCTGTAGAGGACTGGGACAAGGTAGCAAATACAGTAGCCACTTCTTCGGCTTCCTAGACCTGCCTAACCCATGGCCTGAAACACCCTAGAACCTCCACCCTTGAATCCAGACCCAGGCTGAGCCCTATTTATGAGCTACCCCAACTCCCAACCCCCCACCATGTCAAGTCTCCTCACCTGCCTATAGCCTCATTAGTTTGAGCCCAACCATGAGCCTAATTATGCCTGTGCTTGACTTTCAGTCAGGGCCATAATGAGCATTAAATTATTATATACAACCCTTGCCACAGCCCTTCTTGACAGAGTGGGGTTTATGGGGTGTGTTCTGCAAAGATGCTGTCAGTTATGTCCATACAAGGCAGGTGTCCCCACTACACTTCTGGCCTTGTCTACCCCTCCTCAGATAAATGGCACCAAGTCCAGGGTCTCCTGATGTGTCAGGCCAGTACTCCTCCTGCTGATGGAGAAAGGCCCTCACATGATGATACGAGGTTCTGGCACTGATTCACCAATTGACTTGTGGGGCAGCACACTGGCTCCGTTGAGGTAGAGCTCGTCATTAACAATGACATCCTCGCCCAGAACTGTTACATTCTCCATACGCACCTGGGGAATGAGAAGCCTCATCAGTGTAGCAGATGCATTCCCTGCTACGCTCCCCACCGGGCCCAGTCTTTGGGCTTACCCACTGGCCCACACGGCAGCGCCAGCCCACAATGCACGACTCAAGCCAGGAGTGGGAGCAGATGTGGGCATCCTGCAGCACCGTGCAGCGTCGTATGCACACGCCGTCCTCTACCACCACACCAGGACCCAGGCTCACATTGGGGCCAATGCTGCAATTCTGGCCAATTCGAGCACTTGGGTCCTGTGAGCCAAAGAGGGAAAATACAAGTGGACCATTTGTCTCCCAAAACCAAGGAGATTAATGATGGGCTGGTCAAAAGCCTTACCACAAGCACATTGCCCACAATGCCAGGGCCTGAGTATAGTCGTTCAGGTTGCTTCTGCCTCAGTGACTGCAGAAAGAGGCACATGCCAGTCAAGAAATCCTTGGGCTGTCCAATGTCCATCCAGAAGCCTATAGGAAGGATTGCATCAGGAAGCTCAGCTCAGCCACCAACCACCCCCTCCCTGAGGCTTCCCTGCCTCACCCTGCAGCTCCATGGCATATAGCTGGCCCTCCTTGGCCATAATAGGGAAGACCTCCTTCTCAATTGACGTAGGCTTCAGCTGTGGGAGTGGGGCAACTTGTGAGCAGGGTCATGGCTGTGGTGGCCCATCCCACCCTAGCCCACCCAGCAGGTCTCTCCCACACACCTGGATGCGCTGCAGCACTGCAGGGCTCAGAATGTATATGCCTGCATTGATCTTATTGGACACAAATACCTGTGGCTTCTCCACAAACCGGTGAATGCGGCCTGTGTCTGCCTCACATACCACCACACCATACTTCGAAGGCTCCTCCACCTTGGTCACCTGAATACAAGGGGACCTCAGACCTAGCCCAGTGTTCCCAAGCCTTAATATATATGCTGTCTCAAGTCTCAAGGACTCTGTCCCAGAAACTTAAAGACATACACGGCACAATTTTGCTTTTATAACTTAGGGAAATCAAGGTTAGGGGATTGGGGAGGCTGGGTGGAGAAGTAGGAATGTCAAAGCCCTTACCAGGATGGAGCCTTCCTGGCCATGGTGCCGATGGAACTGCACCATGGCGTGAAAGGGGAAATCACAGGTCACATCACTGTTGAGGACGAAGAAAGGGTCTGCAGTCTCAGTGAGCAGGTCACGGGCCAGTGCTAAAGGCCCAGCTGGAGAACGGGGGCAGGCAGGTTACCGCCTTGCAGGGGTACAGGTCACCAAGCCCCACCCAGGCTGGGTCAAAGCCTTTTCCTGGCCCTAAATCCCTTACCAAGGGACCTTGGTGTGTCCACTGACCTGTCCCCAAAGGTTCCTCTTCATGAGACACGGAGATTCGGATTCCCAACTGGAAGAGAGAAACCACGACATCAGGCTCTACTTCCAGGGCAGGAAGTTGAGCAAGGACCAAGGGAAAAGACTCCGTGCCTCACCCTTTGCTCCTGAGTCTTCATTTCCTTCTCCAACACTTGAGACATGTAACTCACGGCCAGGATGACGTGATCCACGCCTGCCTGGACAGAACACAGGCCAATAGACTCATTCAGCCAGGAAGAGAAAACTTCCAACGGCTAGCCGTCCCCATCCCTCAAGGTCAGACCCCGGGAACTTACGGCGGCAAGCGCCTCCACTTGGTGCAGCAAGATGGGTTTGTTGCAAAAGTCCACCAGTGGCTTCGGGATGCTCAGCGTCAGCGGCCGCAACCGCGTCCCATAACCGCCCACTAAGATCAGTGCCTTCATCGTGCCTGCGAGCGTCAGGGGTCAGTGCCCGCCCGCCAGGCCGAAATCTGCAGTGCACTTCCACCTCCCTGACTTATCTCACGCCTCTCACCAGCCAGACTGGCCGACTCTGCTTCCAGCTTGTCCCCAGGTCTGTACTAACGCCAAAATTCAAGAAGCGACCTGGTACAGGACTTGTAGGACCGGGAACTCAGGCCGCACTCGGCGGCGGCCAGAGGCGTGACCACAGCGGGCCAATAGGCTACTGTCTACGTGGCACGGCCGTCGGCGTCGGAGCGTTGGGCGCGGCGCTGCGCCAGACGTAGCCAATAAGAACTCGAGCGCGCCACGCTGCTATGGGAACCCAGACGGGGACCGCGGGTCAGCTGTCCATTGGTGGATCCAAAGGCCGAACTGGCGCCAAATGCGAGGCAGAGTCCGTGACAGCGACTTCCGGCCCCACCCCACCCCCACGCCAACCAGGAAGTGGAGTGAAAGGAAGGGCCCAGGATAGGATTGCCAGCCCCACCCAGCCGGTTTCCCTGGAAACTGCTTTGTCTCCAAAGACGCAGACAAACTTCGTTATAGCGGCTTTATTTTGACAAACACGACCTCAGACACAAGCAGGGTAGGCAGCGCCAGGTGTACAGAAGGGTAGGCTCGGCCCGAGCACCCCCTCCCCTACACGCATGGTCTGGTGAAAACAAAACCGGCCGAGGTGTGGCTGGAGCCACGTTGTAACTGGGCGCAGGTCTCGGGTGGTGTGGACAGACTTAACCTCGGGAAAGTGGAATAGATTCCCAGAATGCGAGCTTTTACCATTTTCCCGCGAAACAAAAGAACCAGGTCTTTCCCAGGGCTCTCCGTATTGTTCTCAGTTTCAATTCGGCAAACACCACCAAATGCTACAGCTGTAAAGTCCAAAGCAATCTGCATCTACGAAATGTGCACGTAGCCTGGTGTGAGCGTGAGAAGCGGCTACTGATCTAGCCCTGGCCCTTGGTGGGAATCACAGGCCAGGAAGGGAGAGGCGGGTCCCTGGCAAGCTGCACACTAGTCCCCTTCATTTACCACTCCCCTCACCAGCTGGGGTTAGCATGCCTGGGAAGTACTGGGGGGAGGAGCGGTCTGAACACCTCAACCCATGATCCCATTATGCAGTTTGGTCCCAATTTGGGGCTAGGAAGGCAGGGGCCTGACAAAGGTCAAGGTTCTGTATCCTGGGACAGAAAGAACAGGCTAGCAAGTGTGTGCACACTCACCACCAGCCTTCAGCTATCAGGGGTGGGTCTCTAGGTATCCAAAGTGCTGAAAAGGAGTCCTGTGCCAGGGCGGAAGCACCAAATCCCAAATCCCAGGTATCCAAAGTGCTGAAAAGGAGTCCTGTACCAGGGCAGAAGCACCAAATCCCAAATCCCAGCCCTTCCACTTTTACTGCCAGATCTTGGATTATAAATCCAAGACGGGAGGGCTACTCTAGGCACCTGGGAACTGGGGAGGCACAACACATCCCTAGGCAGTCTCAAGTAGCCCTGAACCCACTCTCTTACCCACTACCCTGCCAGGAAGGCTGTCTACACTAAGGAAGAGTGACTGCCTTCACAGCCAAAGCCAGAGAATGATAAAAATGGTCACTGACCAAAAATAGGCAAAGCTGCACCTCCCAGCCCCAAGAACAGAACCTGCCAGCCATGGGCCCCAGCCGGGGGGTCACAGGGCTGAGAGAGGAAGGCTCCATCAAGGAACCTATTTTAGGGGGAAATCACTCCATCAGTTACGAAGGCCTCTCAGACATAGGTTTACTTCTGAAGCCAAAATAGGGACGTGTCAAAAGCAACAATGTCAGTGACCCTATGCTTGGATAAGGGCCAATTCTGGCAATGGCAGAGAGCAGAATTACCTGCTGGCCAGCCACCTACGTACGTAACGAGGCAGCAAGTCTCCATGCCACTAGGGGCTAGCAGCAAACATCACTAAAATCTGACACTTGAGCCTTTACTGCCTGCTGTCAGTGTCAAGGGCCACAGTTCACGCCTGCAAGAAGAGCACTGGATCAGCAGAGAAACACTACCTACAATTCACTCTGCCATGAGGTCTTTTTTTAAAAAGGCAGCACCTGCTACAGAAGGGCAAAAGCTCACCTCAGAAATGAGAAAGAGTATTTTGTTGAGGACAGCATAAAAGAAATCATGTACTAACAAGCAAGGCTACAGCCAGGGGAAGTATCCCCATGAAACAGGGTGGCATGTGGACATATGGACAAAATGACAGAACCCAGGGTTAATCAGACAAAGCTCTCATTAGCAGAATCTGGGCACCTGCACCCAGGGTCCAGTGTCCCTAAAAGCAGACAACCTTATACTTCTCCCTCTGGGCCCAAGACCTAACATGTCTCACAGTGGGCTGCCTCCCTGGAGCTTGGCCTGGAAAAGTGCGAGACCCTGAGTGGACCACAGCCCTTGAGTCCTGAAGAACACCCATTCAGAGGGAACACAGCTGCCCAATCTAGAGGAGGAAGACACCCACCGACAGCACAAGAACTGCAAATACTCTCTGGAACACAGGCCCTGAGGGCCCCACGGAATCATGCCCATTCAGTGAAGCAGGAGGGATAGCCTCCTCAGGCAAGGGATCTTGGTGAGCAACTGGCCGGCATTATGGGCAGAAGAGGAGCAGTTCACATATGAGTGACTGGGGAAGCGGCCTATTCCCTGCCATAAACCGGCTTCAGCTCAGCTTCATGAACCTAGGCCCATGCCAAAATCAGACCCAAGAAAGACAGGCCCAGCTGTGTGCAATCAGTTGCTATGGGTGCTCACGATACAAGACTTACAAGCCCAGGAGAGTTGGGCATCCAAGCCCTCTACTGAGGAACACGGGATGAGTGGGCACGGACGGAACCTGCGTCAGCCCAGGGATTCATCCCACAATTTGCAGGACCCTGCAGCCGTAGATCCCAAAGGCCAAGGCAAGAGAAACCAAAGTCCCAGGATATTCTGACTCTGCTGCCAAGCCCACCAGGGGCACTTCTTCATTCCTAAGTCAGCCTGGACACAGCAGTCAGAGCCATAAAGCTAAGAAGCCTGGCTGAGAAAGCAGATGTTCTGCCTTCTTTCATTTTATATATATGGATTCCAGGCTACAACTAAAAACATTTCTTTTAGTTTACACCAAAGAGAAATATAACCCTTTAAAAGTAAGTCTGTGTGTCCTCATGGCAAGTTCAGAGCAATGGTCCCTGCCTGCGGGTAGAGAGGAACTGGTACAGAGGGCCCAGAACTGGGCCTACTGATTCTCTTCCCGCATCTGTTCCATGATGCTGATGAGATTCTCCAGGCCAAATACATAGCCTCTGTCCGGCCCATCATGCACAGTGGGGTCATCCCGAAAGCCCTTGAAGGTGCTGTGTGCAAAGTCAATCATGCGAACATCCACTTTGGGTGGACAGGAGGGGCCTGCCTCGGGATTGATGCTGCTGGGGCTAGTGCTAGGGCCGCCGGGCAGTGCCACCTCAGGGACCCCCATGTCCAGGTGCTTGAGACGCAGATCAGATCGGCACTCCTTGCCATCATAGATGACAAGCAGAGAACTGGAGTAGAAACGGTAGGAGGCCTGCCGCTCCAGCACAGCTTTGAGGCCTCGAAGTTTGCTTAAGATAGGCTCAAAGAGGTCACGTCGCAGGTCCAGCCCATTGTGCAGGTACTGATAGAGAGCATTGCGGAAGCCTTCGATGGAGAGCCCACGGCCATAATACTTGTTCCTGCACAGGTAATGGCCTGTGTCCAGCTGGTACACCTGAAATCCCAGGAAACAAGATAGGATGAGCACTTGGGAGTCTAATGACCTTAACGGTGCCTGAACAAACATCACCACAACAGTGTCTAGGCATTGACCAAGCTGAGCTTTTCTGCTCCTCCAAATGGAGCGCAACAGGCCATGCTCACCCTGGGTCTCCCCATTATAGAGCTGCGACGCCAATATTGGGCCCACAGCAACACCTGTAGTGCCGTCTTCCATACTCCTCTGAGTCTTACTTGTCCCAGTGTCGAGACTGCAGGCTTTCAGCGGCTGTGTACATGGAGCTCAGATCAGGGGTCACACTTGCAAGGATGTACTCAGCACCCTGTGGGAGACTCACCCTCTTGGAGGAGATTCCAGAACAGTGGGGCCAGGAGGGCGAGCAATCTAAAACACACAGGTGGCAGCCCCTAGGCTGGCACCAGTGGTGACTCACCTGCATGCCACAGACCCTGACCCCCAGAGTGGCAGATGTGCTCTGCTCGCACTTCCTCATTTGCCGGGCCGCCTTCTCAGCTGATGCATCATCCCCATGTTGCCGGGTGCCCATCTTCAGGTCCAGCACACAAGGGTACTTGAAATGATGAACCACATTCTCAAGCAGGAGGAATTCTGGGCTAGGGTCAAGAAAAATCAAAGCCACACTTGCCACCAGTCCCACCCACAAAAGCAGTGACAAAGGTGTACTAGAAAAGGAAACAGTTTATTCTAATGTAAACTTAGTAGCTTCATGAACTCTCAAATGTGTGAAATTCTTTTTTTTTTTTTTTTTTTTTGGTGGAACTGGGGATTGAACTCAGGTCCTTGCGCTTGCCAAGCGAGCACTTATTCTACTGAGCCTTCTCCCCAGCCCTCTAGCTTATTAGTTATTGAAAAAAAGTAATAAAATATATGTCACATAAACTTGGCCATTTTGGCAATTTCCAAATGTATCCAGTAGCACTGAGTATATTAACCTTGTTATACAATCATCACTGCTGTCTACCTCCAGCATTTTTACCTTCCTAAACTGAAACTGTATCCAAGTAATTCCTTGTCTCCACTCCCCAGAATCTCGAGGAAACAGATATACTACTTTTTCTCTCTAGGAGTTTTTCTATTTGAGGGATCTCATACCAGTGGAATCATACAGCATTTGTCCTTTTAAGCCTGACTTAATTCACTTAGCAAAATGTCTTCAAGGTTCATCCATGTGTAGCATGTTATCAGCTTCATTCCTTTTTTATGGATATATCACACCAATTCATTTAAAAAAATTATTTAGATTTACCTTGTAGGCAATAAAGATTTGACAGATCTGAACACATCCCAGTTTCCATCAATAAACCAAGGTCCTATGCAAAGCAGAACCTCACCCAGATCTAATAAGGAAGACATATTTGCACCACTACCACCAAAATCAAAAATTCAGATTCTAATATTCCCAATAGGAATGTTTAGAAAATACTGGATTTCAGTATCTGCCCAGGGTTGGGGTGTATAGCTCGGTGGTAAAGTGTCTGCGAAGCACAAGGCCCTAGGTTCAACCTACCCAATAAAGAAAATTTACCTTCCTGTCTCAGCCTCCCCATTGCCGGGATTATAGGTGTGTGCACCCTCATGCTAAGCTTTACTGTCAAATTTTAAGCTTCTGCCTTATCAGGTTCAAAAAGAGAAACTAACAAAGAAACAAACACCCATGTTAATGAACTTAAAAGAGGAATCTATAAAAAAAGGAGATGAAAACAAAGAGGGGTCCCTGGACAGAGAATGCCCTCCGTCAGGGCTGGGGGAGTCCAGGAGCCAGTGCTGAAGGCAGACAGATAAGGATACTGTAGAGCTTTCGATCCTTGGACTCAGAGCGCATTCGGCTCAGCTGCTGCTTATGACAGCGCAGGCTCCAGGGGTTATGGCTGATCTTCTCAGAACTCAGACCACTGTTGCCGTCTAGCATCTGGAAAGGGACATCTGAGTGGCTATGAAGCTCCACCTTCAGACTCTTTGCCTCCTGAGAGCTAAGAAGGAAGAACACAGACATCACTAAGAGACCCAGGCAAGTTATCCTTGGGGACAGAGGGCAGAGGATGACTCATGTGCTACCCATAGACCCTGCTGACAGAGGGCCCCAGAAATGTGAGCTAATAAAGGTGCACAAACAATATGTCTTAGAAAACTGGCTGAAAAATAATTATTTGTGATAAGTTACATGACAAAAATACTATACTAAGTCCTTGACTTAGGAACATTTGAGTTGTGAACTGTCTTTTTCTTTCTTTTTTTTTTTTTTTTTTTTTGGTGGAACCGGGGATTGAACTCAGGCCCTTGCGCTTGCCAGGCAAGTGCCTATTCTACTGAGCCATCTCCCTGGCCCATTGAGTTATGAACTTTCACAGATACAAAAAGGATCTCAAACATTTGTAATGTGAAAAAAAAACAAAAACAAAAAAACCCCACAGAAATAGCTCACATGTCTGCTGGATGTCATCAGTTATGCTGCATGTGCTTACTGCATAGTGTGATAGTGTACAACGGTAGGGTGCCAGGATGTCCAGAAGCAAGAGGAAAAGCAGTGATGACATGGGAGATTGCTAGGAAGTGCAAAGCCGTAACAATGGAAACAAAAGCGAACAGAGTTGAAAGAAAGGACAAAGTATGCTTTAAACTGTGTATTTATGGGGCCAGGGAGATGGCTCAGTGGAATAAGTGTTTCCCTGGCAAGCACAAGGGCCCAAGTTCAATCCCTGGTTCCACCAAATAAATAAATAAACAAACAAACAAACTTTGTATTTATGTCAAATGTGTACGAGACTCACTTTATCAGACTTACAAAGGAATCTGATTAATAAACACTCTCCTGGAACAGAAATGGACAGAACTTGGCCTTAATAGGGACTTACTGTACTGTGTATACACTAGGATAATTAGCATCAAAAGAAAAATACTGCAACAGTGTTGCCCAGAAAGTGAAGAAGATGGAACCCTCCTACACTACCGGCAGGAAGGTAAAATGGCACAGGCTCTGTGAAAAAGTCTGGTGTTTCAGCCAACAGAGCCTGGGAGTGCTGGTGGACGCCTATAGCCACTTGGGAGGTTAAGGCTTAAGCTTAAGATTTGGAGGCCAGGGCGCCGGGGAGATGGCTCAGTAGCACAAGTGCCTGCCTGGCAAGCACAAGGTCCTGAGTTCAATTCCCAGTCTTAAAAAAAATTTAAAAAAAATTTTCTTTGGGGGCCAGGGAGATAGCTCAGTGGAATAAGCACTTCCCTGGTAGGCATAAGGGCCTGAATTCAATCCCTGGTTCTGCCAAAAAAAAAAAAAAAAAAAAAAAAAAAAAAAAAAAAAAAAAAGGAAAAAGGGGCCGGGGAGATAGCTCAGTGGAATAAGCGCTTCCCTGGCAAGCGCAAGGACCTGAGTTCAATTCCCGGTTCCACCAAAAAAAAAAAAGTAAAGCATACTACAGACACAGATGATTTATACACAGAATAAAAGAAGCTGGGTATGATGGTATACATTTGTAATCCTGGCATGCTGGGAAAGCTGAGGCATGATCAAAAGTTTGAGCACCTCTGGGCAACTTAGTGACTAACAAGATCCTGTCTCAGCACAAAAAAATTTAAAAAGAGGCTGAAGATGTGATACAGTGTGAAGGCCCTGAGATCAAGCACTAGTACTTAAAATAGATTAAAATGGTCATTTTACAACATCAAAACTTGATGACAATAAAAAGAAAATGTGATGAAGGTACAGTGTCACACTAAACATGGAGAACAACACAGGATGCTAATCTCAAGGACACAAGTAACTGTCCTGCCTTCATCCATAATACCTAGAAATGCTAGTTTTAATAAGATTTTAGACTCTCTCTCTCTCTCTCTCTCT